CTAGAATTTATTCTATAGATGTTATCATGAGAATTCCAGAAACAATCATGGAGCTTTATTTATAGAAGCAAATGACAGAAAACAACCTAAACTACTTCCACTAGAGCAAGCTTCACAAAAATTGTGACAGATCTGCACAATGGAATACATTGTCTGTGACTTTTTAAAGAGGGAGAGAAAAAACCTGTGAGGGCACCTTTTAACTATCTCCAGTGTAACAGTCCAAAATTAAACCTTAAGGCCACCCTGATGGTGCAAGGGATTGAGCACCGCACTATGAAGAAATCCGCAGCCTCTGCAGCACGAGTTCAATCCCCAGCCTGCCAGGGAGCAACCCACATGGCACAGCAGACCTCTCCTGTCTCACCTGCTGCTCCCCTCGGCAGTGTACTTCGGTCAATCCGCCTGTTCTGTTCCCCACTCTGTCTCTGGTGAATCCTCTCACCCCCCCCCCCACATCTCTGGCCTGTACCCCAGCTCTACGCATAAATAAATCTTCAAAAAAAAATTAAACCTTGAAGTCCCAAGAATTAGGTACACTGTGTCACAACTCCTATTTTCATTTTAGAAGTTCAGATATACACACATATGTATGGATGTGAATATAATTATGTATATCACATGTATCTGAAATGATGCAAAAGAAAGATAACTGTAGTGATCTTGGAATGATAAACTACTAGACTAGGACTGGGAGATTACTTTTCACTTGATGCTTTTTAAGTGATTACTTTCTGTGCTGTGTGAAATGTTCCATATGTGTACAAACTCTGAATTTTTTTAAACGCGAAAGTAACAGAGAAGAATAAGTAATAACTGCCACAGCCTACTAGAGACTGTAATCTGAGACATCCACCTGATCTTCTAAGACACAGAGATGTGCCTGTTACTTTAAGAGGAAATGAAGAATAGGGTCTTGCTGGTGAGCTGGAGGCTCTGATCCAGTCCTTCTGCAGAACTTAAGAACATACTTTGCGAAGCAGACAGTGATTTAACAGGTAAGGAGGCAGCCAGAAGTCCTTCCCCAGGAGACACCCGGGGGGACCATCATTGAGCAGAGATTTAAACAGATAGTGCAGGGCAGGTGTTCCTGGGCCCACTGGACAGCAGCTGAGGAGACCTACAGGTAGGCATTCTGGGTACAGAAATACCTCAAAAGAATGAAAGAAAGTCCCCACATCACCAGCATGTGCCAGACCATGTGGAACCAGAGTGAAGCCCACTGAACATTCAGAGGCCTTCAGGGTCTACATGGTGAGCTGTCTGCCTCCAGCACACCCTCTAGCCTTGCACCCATTGCTCAGGAAAGGGAGTGGGGTGTACTGAGTGGGGTGAAGGAAGGTATGAGGGGTGAAGCCACCCATCTGTCCTAGGACTCTGCTCATATGTAGTCATGATCTTGCAAAATTTGTCTCCATCTATTTCCCACTTCTAAAACAAGATTATTTGGGGCCTCCCTGGTAGTGCAAGGGGTTAAGTCTCAGCACTATGAAGCTTTCCATAGCCACTGCAGCACAAGTTCCATCCCCAGTCAGGGAGCAGACCTCTCCTGCCTCCCCACTGCTCCCCTCAGCAGTGTATTTCAGGAGATCTGCCTGTTCTGCTCCCCACCTGTCTCTGGTGATCCTTTCACCCCCAACACCTCTGGCCTACACCCCAGCTCTTATATGCATAAATAAATCAATCTTAAAATAAATAATAAAATAAGATGATTCATGGCTCCATTTGGTGAGGCTTTGAGAAAACGAAACGAGGTGATCAAGGTAGCTTTCCATCCTAGACAAACAATGCTTTCAGAAAACAAAATATAAAATGTTAGCAGTATTACACAAGTGATCTTTTTGGTGAATAGGCAGCAATTTGACTAAATTGGCCAGTCAGTTGGTTCAGAGGACACAGCCAATCTGATAACCCACAAACAAAACCCAACGCTAATTTGTTAATTGGTCTAATTTGTTAATTGCCACACATACTTAGGGAGCACTTATTGCAAGATGGGTGGTGTAAGGGCCGGAGAGATAGAGAAGACAGACTTTTGACCTACAGGAAATGCCAGGTCTCGTCCAGGGATGATGTGAACTCTGACATAAATTTCTGTCCCATCACCACAGTGTTCTATTAGAGATACACCAAAATGCCACGGGAGAAAAACTAAAGGTTTGGCCCACCAACTGCCAAGGCACATAGACTAGTAACAACGGCTCATTAAGCTGCACATTTATTTATTAAGGAATCTGCAAATGATTAGCTGTAATTTTTTTGGAGCAGGATATTAATCAACATATTTGTTTAGTATTGTCTTGAATTAGTCAAGCATCTCATTGAATAATTTCAAAACTAAAGGACCAAATAACTTCATAATTGGTGGTCATTTCAGATTGTACGCTAGGCTGGACACTGGGTAAAATTTATAAAATAACCTGTAAGTAGCACTGTATTATTGGGCAATATTTCGACCAAGGTGATTGAAAGCATGATGTTCACCACCAGGTTTTATGTCCTCCTGGTGCCTGACAATCAGCCGTCTTTCATCAAAACTGCAGCTCCTCTGCCGATTTGGTCCATCGGTTAAAGAAAGGCAAGGAAGGGCAAGTGGAAAATAAAATAGACAAAACAGTTGTTTAAAGCCATGTAGCCAGAAGGACAGCTTAACCAAATGTTTCACTTTTGAACTTGCATTTTTTTTTTAAGATTAATTTTTTTCATACAAGAGATGGGGTACAGGCCAGAGGCGTGGTTGAGAGGATCTACCAGAGACAAAGCGGGGAACAGAACAGGCAGACTGACAAAATACACCGATGAGAGGAGCAATGGGCACGACAGGCGAGGTCAGCCATGCCATGTGGGATCCTCGCCGGCTGGCCGGGATCGAACCCGCACTGCTGAGGCTGCGGACAGCTTCACAGCACCGTGCACAACCCGCTGAGCCACCAGAGAGGCCCTGAACTTGCATTTTATTCAATTTGGTGTTTCATTCAGGTCTAAATATTGTTCTAAGAGTTGCAAATGTTGGGCAGAGCTCCCTGAGTTAACCTGCATAAAATTAAATTTAATTCTAATTTAATTCACTTCCAGGATGGTATTCTGTTGCCAATGTTAAAACCCTCAAGGAGTTTCATTTTCCATGACCTCTATAAAATAACAAGTTGTATTTGCCACAACCAGAAAAACATCCTCATTTGCCTAGGGAGTCTGTAATCAGATATTACTTACTACCCCACATTATTTCAATAGCCACAAGTCATTCCTACTAAAACAAAAGTAATTTTCTGACCTGCTACAGTAACAAATGTTCTGCTAATGACATTTATTTGGGTGATGGTAGAACTGTTACAACAGTTCCTAAAATGCAGATTCCAAAGCACTGGTCATATACCAAACCACCATTAACCTGTCCCTTTTCTCCTGGACATTCCTTTGAAAAAAGACAGTGGTGGGCCTCCCTGGTGGCCTAGAGGTTAAGTCTCTTAAACTAGAGGTTAAGAACTGCAGCCTGAGTTCGATCCCAGGCCAGGGAGGTGACCCACATGGCGCAGCAGACCTCTCCTGTCTCAACTGCTGCTCCCCTCAGCAGTGAATTTCAGTGGATCCTCCTGTTCTGCTTCCCTCTGTCTCTGGGGAATCCCCTCACCCCCCACGCCTCTGGCCTACACCCCAGTTCTTCTATGCACAAGTAACTAAATAAATTTTTTTAAAAAAGAAATGCAAGTTTATCATCCAAAAATTCTGTGTACAAATTGATGAAAATTCACATACTTCAATAAGTAAGGTATAGTAGCACCTAATTACACATTTCACTGTTTAAAATTAAGTATAAATTTTACTTCTAGAGACCAAACAGCCATCAGAAGAGTTGGTATTTCTCTATTTTACACTGTACATATGAGGCATTTTTGTTGATGCTGCCAAATGAAAATTATTTTCTTTTTCTTCCAAAAACTCTAAGCATGGGAACTAGTTAAATACACTAGTAATTCTGGGTTGGGTTCCTGGAAAAGGATATTGGGACCACATTTCCCATCTAGAGAGAAGCCCTTGCTGTGGATGCTGGGTCCTGTCTGACATAAGCTTTGTCCCTGAGTCAGGCCCAGGGAGCTTTTCTGTTTATGCAGAAATAGGTAAAGATACCAGTTCTCAAACTCAAACCGGGCAGGAATTTCCCTAGGACAGAGTGGTCCCGATGTCACAACTGCATTAATACCAGCAGGCGGGTCTGGATTAAAGGGCAGCCATCTTGTCAGCCATGGGACACACAGGCTCAGGCACAGGGCGGAGCCTGTCTTTCCCCAGAGCACCTGCACCAAGTCACCCTCCTGGACAGAGAAACCTACTCTTTGTACCAGGGGCAACAAAAAGGACAGGACTAGGATGTACCCTGTAATTCAAGATCATCCCTTCTTTCCTTCGGCTCAATAAGACACATCTTTGTGAAACAGAAAAGAAAATTATGGGGGTCACAAGGTTGTGCCCTTCTGGGGTGACTATCCATGACTATCAACCCTGACCTTCTGGACCCTTTGAGACCTACAAGGAAGCCTTGTTTAATTAGGTAAGGATCAGGATGTTGATGAGTGAAAGATGAACTTTCAGGTCCCTTACAGACAATAGACATGCATCGGGGTGGGCGTCATTATTGGAAGAGCCCATTTTCCTTCACAGATGCCGATGGGACACTTCATGACCTGCCACTAGATCCTGGTGAGTGAGGCTGTGCCCCCACCTAGGTCTGAATTCCAAGGTCACATTATCTTTCTAAAAAGGATCCAGAATAAGCTCTATGCCGAATGGAGGACTCCCCAAAAGACACTAGTATGCTGAACAATTCCTAAGTCGGTTGGTTATTAACATTTAGGGGCCCACAAATTCAACTTTGAAGATCATGATTCATCATCAAAGATCTGCAACTAGACAAAAACAGAGTCAGCTGCATCCTGCTGGTTCACATGTAAAGGCAGAGAAGCCCTTTTTCCCACAACTTGGAGGTCAAGTCATCAACTCACCCCAAGTCCATCAGCCTCCAAGGAATTATGTCTCCACTATGTTGTGTTTAGGATATACTGATGGCTTGGAAGCCACCACATCTGCGGAATCCACAATGACACTGGGTGGTGGGTCCCAGCAGGCAGCTGCCATCGTGGACAAGGTCGAGAGCCCAAGCAAAGACCAGTTTGGAGAATCTTTTCCTCGAGAGCAAGTCGTGGTGGTGCACAGCTATCAGGCAGGTCTCAAGACATAAAAGATGAATGGAAATTGAAAATGAGTCTGTTTTTGCTCCCTGCCAATCTGAGCCAGACCCAGAACACAACTAAGGATTTTATATGCAGTGCTTTATGCATTTTATATGTAAGCATGCCTGGCACTTTATGTGTCTCTATCCCTGACTTTATTCTGAACGACCCTCTGAGACATTTTCTCATGGATCCATCTCGCATCCCTCGGCCCTCCATCTTGCTCAAAGATTACCTTATGTTACAGTGGATTCTCTCCTTTTTCCTCCTGACAACTTGCCTTCTCCCCGTCCTGGGATTGAGCTCTGAGCTGGGACCTCCTGTCAGTTCACACACATATTCCTACTACTCATGGGAAAGAACAGTCAGAAGAATTTCTATCATTCTGCTTCTGCTTAACCCAACTCTACTTTCTCAGGCAAACTCATGCAATCTGTCTTTCATTTAGAGATATTTTTGCACTTCTGTTTAACACTGGGGATTTTCAGATTGCCCTTCATTCTATTTATTTCTCTCCCTTGCTGGGCAGAAAGCAGCAGCTGCCATGGACATAAGACCTGAAACAAATAAGGAAAGATGGGACAGAGCTACCCCCACAAACAAATCGTGCCTCTGAATGCTAATGTCTTATGGAGAGAGTTCTGGAACAGCCTGCATACAGAGAGTAGTCAGCAATTTCTAGCTACAAAAAATTTCTTGCTAATAATACAATTCGATATCCTTTCCTTATTACTAAAATCCAGGCATCCTATCTCCATTAGAGCTGGAGACTTGTGAGGATAAAGATATCAGTTCACAAGTCCAAGATCACACCTAGAGGCAACTGGCAGACACCTCATGCTGGGCCTTCAGGACCGTGTTGAAGCCAACTCATCTGTAAAGTGGCTGCAGTGGTTACAGAAACCATCACTAAAGTTTGAAAACTACCAATCCCATTTAACAAATGTTCACAAATTGCTGACAGGGATTCAGGCAGAGTAAGACACAGTGCTCTCCAGGGTTTTCCAGTTCAGCTGGCTCACAAAACATGCCCTACAGAAAGTCATCCTTCAAGTCAAACTGTTTTGGACATGACAAAAAAAGTACAAAGCATTCAATTCCTAGGCTCTTATTTTATCCCTTCTTCTGTGATCACTTACAAAATGTAGAAAAGATCAACCCAAACCGCTGTGTGAGTGTGTACGGGTGGGTACTTGTCCCAAGGATGGCCACAGAACAAAGAGAAAGCTAAAGTCACTGTCTCCTTGGCTATAGGCATTAATAGCCCAAGAGTCGAAAGGTTACTGTCACTCTAGAAGAGAACAGGAAAACATCCTGTCATGGAGAGAAAGGACTAAAGTCCAATTTCTGTCCTGCTGGTGGTGTAAAGCTCACAGGGATTCTAAAAAGCCAAAGACTTTTTAGAAGCTTGCTCAGAAATGGCCCAGTCAGAGGACCCAGTGGACACTCCTCTCGTGATGCTAGCCAGTGGGGACCCCTGATCTTTCTCACCTTGGCAGGACACCCAGCTGAAACTATTGTGGCCATAAAATCACAGAAGCACACTGGCACCATTTTGAGAGGAAACCATAGTAGGGACCCTAAAAGAATTGCTGATGAGAGTGGACTTGAAGTGAAGATAAAGTCATGGTATCTGGAACTTTCTTCCATTATGGCTATGCCCAAGACATGTGTGAGCTGATAGATATATGTCATTTTCTTCTGAGGTCATCACGTGTTTGAGCCTGCACATCATGTTAAGGAACACTCATGTCAAATTGCCTTTTTCCATCTGGGAATATTTCTGTCACATCAGGTACTTCATAAAGCTCTTGAAAGTAAGATAAACTTTTCGTAGATGGAAATTTAGGGAAGGAGAGGGAGAAAAGTGCTTCAGACAGAGGGAATAACAGAAAAACAGGATAAAAAGTCAACCTGTGTCTAGAGGAAAGGAAAAACTCGATCTCAGAAAGCCATCTACACCCTCATGCCTGTTACATTATTAAAAATAGCCAAGATATTAGACAACCTCAACGTTGGTCAGCAGATGAATAAAGAAGATACATATGAGGGAATATTGTTCTGACATAAGAAGGAAATCCTGATTTTTCCCCAACAACATGGATGTACCTTGTACCTAATGAAATAAGTTAGACAAGAAAGACAAATACTTTAGGGCCTCCCTGGTGGTGCAAGGGGTTAAGACACAACCTATGAAGTTATCTGCAGCCTCTGCAGCACAAGTTCGATCCCCAGCCAGGGAGCTACCCACATGGTGCAGCAGACCTCTCCTGACTCGCCCGCTGCTCCCCTCAGCAGTGTGTTTCGGTCAATCTGCCAGTTCTGTTCCCCACTCTGTCTCTGGTGAATCCTTTCACCACCCCCCACACCTCTGGCCTGTACCCCAGTTCTTGTATCCATAAATAAATAAATGTTTTTAAAAAGAAAGACAAATACTTTATATCTCACTTATATGCAGATTCTTAAAAAGTTTAACTCATAGAGACAGAGTATGGTGTTAGGGGGCCTAAGGGTGTGTTGTCAAGGAGCAAACTCATACTTCGAGGCTGAGTAAGTTCTGGAATCTAATGCAAAGCACTGTGGCTGCACCCAGTAACACCGTTACATACCTTACAGTTACTAAGAAACTACATCACGAATGTTCTCACCACAAAGAGTGGTAATGGCATTGCACTATATAAAAGTATCAGATCAATGTGTGATAGACCTTAAACTTCAGCTGAGTGTTAATCACGTGCCAATTGTTTAAAGTTGGCCTGTGTGGAGGGATGTGGAGATGAGCTAAGAAGGGTAGTTTGGGACAATCCGGTGTCTGAGACTTACCCAAAGGTTTCTCACAGAGCACTGAAGAGTTTCTGAGTTTTCTCAAAGTCTAATTCTGAGCAAGGTAGACGAATGATGATGTTGAGCACGTTCTAGGTGCCTGGCACTAGGCCAAGCATTTTGCCTTGTCAGATACTTAATCCTCACAACATCTCAGCATCAGAAGTGCCTCATTTTATACATATGCAACTGAGGCACAGAGTTAAGTCACTCGCCGAATGTCACACAGCCAAATAATGTGCTTGCATCCGGGACTCTCCATGTACGGCATCTTCCTGGCCTTCTATCTATTGTCTTAGTTTCCCACACCAGCCAGTTTCTTCTGCTTCTAGGATCTGAAAGGCCATCTGCTTTCTATAATATTTTATGCTCACACTCCATCAGAGGCCATCCAAAGTAATATAGGGTTGGTACTCGGCTGACAAGCTGATAGACAAAAAATTCCTCAAAATGCAGAAACCATACAAGGTGAAAATGTCTCAAAAGTCTACCTACACACATGCCCAAAAATTGCCCTTGCAATAAAGCCAGACCTGCCATTCTCAGCGCTCGCCAGCAACGAGCCACACAGCTGCGGAGGTCTAACAATTTGGGCAGAAAAACAGACAGGCAAAGAAAAAGAAGAATGTAGTCAAGCCCCAAGGAAAAAATGTTAACATCCGGAACCAATTCACCCACACAGGCTGGGGAACCGTTACACCCAGCTCTCTATAACACCCCTCAGCCCCTGGCCTCCCCTACACACACACACACACACACACACACACACACACACACACACACACATCAGGGCTTGGCTTACTAGTTGCTCACCCCTATAAGAAGTCAAATTGCCCTATGTCTTTAGGGAGTGTCTCCTATGGTAGCTACCACCCAGTCAGAGCATCACAGAGACACCTTAAATCTCTGTGACATCACAGCCTCAGCTGGGTAACGCACAATTGCTCCAGATGGGCTTTCATGTCCCCAGGATGGAAGCTGGTCAGACAGCTCGGACTCTGAGCACAGGACGAGGCTTACTGGTTCTCTAGCTTGCAGAATCTACATTTCTGACTGGACAGACCTCGCGGGGGAGAGCCAGCAAATCACCAGAGACGGCAGCCTTCATCCCATTCTCTGCCACCTTTGTATTTCAAGAATTTGACTCCACCTGCGTTCCTTGGGAAAGGAAAAGGAGACAGAGATCCCTATGCTTCTACTGCCGCAGGAGTATTTCAAATCCCACAAATTGTCGCTGTGCAGGGTAGGGCGGGCAATAGGAGAAAAGAAAGTTTTCAGGCAGAGATACGGGCCTCCCCTGGTGGCGCAGCGGTTGAGCGCTGGGCTGCGAAGCTGTCCACAGCCTCTTCAGTGCAGGTTCGATCCCAGGTGGCCAGGGAGGGTCCCACATGGCGCACAGACCTCTCCTGTCTTACCTGCTGCTCCCCTCAGCAGTGTATTTCGTCAGTCTGCCTGGCCTGTTCCCTGCTCTGGCTCTGGTGAATCCTCTCACCCTCCCGCGCTTCTGACTGTACCCAGTGCTTGTATAAATAAATAAATAAATCTTAAAAAAAAAAAAAAAAAAAGCAGAGATACACCTCACCTATTTCTCTCCTGAGCTTCCAGAACACTTTTCTATCACTGGGTACAACAGACAGGAATATGGCTGACCTTACAGTTACACAGCTGAGGAACAGGGAGAGGCTAAACTTGACACTGAAATTGGGGGGAGTGTCGTTTTTCTCCAAATCCCTGCTGGAGACACCAGACTTCCTAAGAGGGGAAGGGTCCCTCAAGTGCAAAGAAACTGATGGAAAGACGGAGAACAGGTGGACCCAAGGGCCCTAAAAGCCATTGTTAAGTCCCCTGACATTGGCTCCCGGAATCACACCCACTTGCAGCGAGTGAAAGCACAGTGCAAGTGTTCATCAGGATGAGGGAGCTCTGCAAATAATGGATTCCATACCAAACAAGGCTGCTGCAAATAGAGCTGTTCCAAAATAAATGAATCAGAGCAGCCACTCAGAGGTTAACGCCTGAGCGCGGGTGTACTTGCTGTGGGTCCTCAAGGCGGTTTCCTAATCCTCAGGCATTAAAAAGAAGCCACTGTGGAAATCAGAATCTCTTCCTTTGTAAATTCAATCCATGGCAAAGGGATTTCAGCTGTGATTGCTGAGTTTGAAAAAATGAGCAGTATTAGAAATGCACGAATTGTTCGTCACTGCAACTGATACGTCTCTAAGCTGTTCCATTTTGAATCAATTACCAATAAGATTCCATCCCTCCCATTGTGAATGGAGAAGGGGATGAGTAAAACAGAGCAGTTAGGTTTCCCTTGAATTTTACTGCACGAGGGGATTTAGGATGCAGAGGTTTTAGATCGAATTCATTATGTGGCCACCGCATATCAGACACTGAGATTTCTGTGCATTAAAGTCAAAGGAAAGCAAGTTGTGCTGCAAAGACCAGGCTGCTGGGCTCATCCTAAAGACCACGCTTAGAAGCTTGACTCTGGATAGCTGTCAAGGAGGCTTCTCCCAGCAGGTATGGAGAAGGTGCCTTAGGCACTAACAGCAAGAAGAGGAAGACAGAGACCCAGAAACTGTAAGCAAGCTCTCTCGGTTTCTTACCAGTTTCTGTGGGGGAGGACAGCATGAATGTCCATCTCCAAAAGCTCAAAAGTCCCCCCTAGGACACCAATGGGGAGGCATGGCCTGGAGGTTAAGGACATTCACTCTGGAGCCACATGGAGCTGGGTTTAAATGCTCCCCTCAGCAGTGTATTTCGGTAGACCTGCCTGTTCTGCCCCCCACTCTGTCTCTGGTGAATCCTCTCACCCCCCACAACTCTGGCCTACACCCCAGTTCTTGTATGCATAAATAAAAATAAATCTTTTTTTAAAAATTTAAGAAAATTCTGCCTGGGTACTTTAATATGGACTGGAGATGTGTGGCCGACCAAAGACAAATTATTCAATCAGTCTGAGCCTCAGTTTACTGATCTGTAGGATAGGAGGGCAGTGACATGACCTTCCTTGAAGACTATTGGGTGGAAGCAATGAGAGATATGCCCTTGACACAGTTCCTGGCACAGGGTGTGCCCTCAGCCCATGAACACTCTTACTGATTAGAGTGTGGGGTCTCTGAGATAAGAGGGCCCTTGGGAGATCGAGAAGTACAGCAGCATCTGTCTTAGAGATAAAATGTGGGGCAAAGACTCTGTTTTGAACACTGTGACCTTAATTCCAGCCAAGACAGAGCAGCCTCCTCTAGATGGTCACACGGGGCTTGGGAGCTCCTGATGAAGGGCCAGCGAAGGTGGGGGTGTGCGGGGCTGTTCTCTGCTCCCCTTCAACTGGGAATGCGCCTTCTCCCTCTTCCACCAGGAACCAACATAAACAAAGTCACCACACATCGCCAGTCTGTAATTTTTTTTAAGTAAATGATCAAATCCAAGCTTCTGTTTTCTGGAAGAAAAAATTCTGCAAAGCTATGTACCCAGATGCGAAAACTAACACAATGGCTACTAGCGTTTCTGCTCAGTCCACTCCCCAGAAACACAGAGAAACTTCCCAGCCTCGTCTTCCCTGACAGTCAGCTGAGATACAGGTTACCCTTTAGTCCATTTACTTCTTTTTAAATTCAACCAAGCAATATCTACAAACCTTTTCAGCAGCCTCAACGCGATGGTGCAAGTGGCTCATTTTGCCCAGATCCTAACAGTTTACCAGAATACAGCTCCTCCTCACCTCCCAGTGGGGTGACATCCTAATATATCCATTGTAAACTGAAAATAGAAGTCAAACAGGCATTTCATACACCTAAGCTCCAGGACCCCATAGCTTAGCCTGCCCTGTCTTAAACGTGCTCAGAACACTTGCATTAGCCAACAGTTGGACAACATCATCGAACACAAAGCCTATTTTGTAATGAAATGTTGACTATCTCAAGCAGTTTATTCACGACTGTGCTGAAAGTGGAAAACAAAATGGCTGGGTGAGCTTTCACCATAACGTACACGGCAGAAAGCACACTGGTCTGAGGAATATTTGAAGCACTGAACAAAAGTTAATTGCTAGGTGACAGGAATGCCTCCGTGCCAGGGACATCAATTTCTCTCTTCTGATGAGATTCCAGAATGGCTGGTGGGAGGCTGGGCAGAGTGCTGGCTTGTCACCCTGTGACTGCATGGCTGGCCGGGAGGGGCGGCGGCTCCCTGCACTGCCCAGCATCACAAGAAAATACTGTCCTGCACGTCGCCAGCTTGGGAAAAGATTCAAATTCAAAATACATTTTCTGCTGAATGCATATCACTCTGGCACTGTCATAAAGTTGGAAAATCCTCACTGGGGACCATCTGTACAGGCTTAACAAACAAAGGCCTTATGAAAATGAATTTTTCTGAATTCCTATAGCATAAAAACCTGACTTTGGGGGGATTTCTGGGCTCCGGGTCAAAGCATCAGAAAGTAGCCAAAGAGAAACATGCTTGTTATTCCACTTCCCTGCATCCAGAAAGGTCCCTCTGTCCTCGGCCAGAGCTGAGTTTCTGGGGAGTTCCTGGGGAGCTGGTAAAGCTGAAGCTCCTTAGCCCCCACCTTCTCGCCCAACCCCTCTTCCTACCAAATGCAAATGCTGATCCTCACTGTGGAAGTCCTTTCTCCCTCCCTCGCCCAGGTGCTGGCTTTTTGCCTCAGTGAACCCTGAATAGAAACAGCTCTTGACTAGCCACGCATGCTCAGATTCTGTGTTCTGTTTCTCACCATGGGCTACACACCAAGTGTGGCGCCCACTTTGCGTCCTAAACATCCTAGTTAAAGCAAAAGGCGAGAGAAGAGGGGAGGGAGCTGCAATAGATCACCATTTGCAACAAGCAGGTCACTGAGGGTGAGAAGTCCCACTCCAGTCACTTGGTAGGAGTAAGAGGCACGGGCTGAATCCTTTGTTCCTTTCTATGCACCATCTCAACGAACACTTACAACCACCTTTGGATGAGTAAGTTTATTATTACAATTTCACAGATACAGAAACTGGGCTTGGGGGAGATTAAGTCACTTTCCCCAAACCATACAACTGGCAAGTGTTGGAACAAGGACTCAGACACAAACAGGGGAAATCTAACCTCGAGAACCTGAGTTTTTAGCCACCATATGACAACATTCACTCGTTTCTTAGACGGAACAGAAATGACAAGACGCTACAGTGAGTGACTATTCGATTACAGTATGCACATATATATATATATTATATATATATATATAATTTGAACAGTGGCTGGCACAGTATTCAACGAACATTGCAGTTAGTTATCATTGTTTTTGTTATCATTACATTTACTATTTACTAAGTGTTTGCCCCGTGCTAGCCACTTGTGTTTGCCCCGGGAGATACAAAAGCGATGAAGACAAAGTCCCTGCCGATAGTGGTTTATGGGTAATAGCGAGAAAGGATGATCAATCAGTAAGTCTATTAATTTCATAACGACAGAAGTCTACACGGGGCGCTGGGGGCTGCAGAGATGAGGGATATCCTCTAAGAGGGGAGAGATGTCCCCAGGGCTTGAAGTCCCACAAAACAGAAACCTGACAAACCCCCACATAGGTGTGTGCTGGGCCCAGTTTTCGGTCTGACCCTGTCCTGAAGTTCAGCAGCTATGAATAGAGGTCTTGAATGCTAAGCTGTCTTCTGATCTATCTTGTTGACAAGCGTTTTGCCTGTTACTAAAGTCATCCTTTTAGCATTCTCACATCTCTGCCAGATCAAGATCTCGGCTTAGCAGACTAGACATGGAAAATAGTTACTAGTGCTTTCCATCAGCTCAAATAGTAAGAGCGGGGACTGTTCCTTTGGGGAGGGC